ACAAAGTTGAAAAGTCGTAAGTTTTTAAGCTGTTGATTTTTGTAAAAATCTTGTGATTTCAAATTTTCCAAGAGTTTTTTAGATTTGTTCAGTATCCACATCTCATTCACACCACTTCTTGAATATATAGTTGCACAGTACTCTAAAGTTTTTCCTTCACCATCGTCAATATCTTAGTGAGGAGTAAAGAGGGTTGGCTGAACATTTACTAGCCATGGAACCCGCAATGTACCTTTGTAAGGATTCTTATGAAGTTTCGAAATCCAATATATATAAGGTATTTCAATTTCATTTTCTCTGTGGAATATTAAAAGTATTCAAAACGGACACGTAATTTTGAAGAATTTCTTCCTTAGAAAGAGAAGTATAAGTATAAGTAGGATTACCACTTGTAGAATCAAATCCAAGTTCTTCTAGAATGCAATTTATATAAAAAGTCATACAAACGAAGACAATCTTGTTACCTGCTTTGTCGTCAGGAACCAGTACGTCTAACAAACTGGAATGGAGTATATTCTCGATCGAGGCTTGCTGAGTGAATACACACCATTTCAACGAGTTGAATAAAGTCAGTATCAAATCACACAATAATACATGTTCTTTATATTTCATACATTTTTTTTTTTACTTTGAAGTAATGATTTTCATTTGTATTCAACATGATGACGCATAATATATAACGTCGCACTGTTGATGTGGAATGGTGAAAAGAAGACTATCATGTGAAAAATATTAGATCTTTGCTATCTGCGTCTTTTAAAACATATGTGACAATCAGTTAGAGGCTTTTTTCAAACTAACATTTGACTTAAAGTTGTATAGACTTAGGGATATTTTTTTTTAATTGTAGGCCCCTATTCAATGTCATTCTTTGAAAGGTGAAAGTGAAAACGGTGAAAGGGTTAAGAACACTGAAGATTCGGATACATTGTAAGTTACAAATACAGCTCAATAAACTTTTTAAGCTCACATGGTTTTTCGCACAAATTAAGGTCACATTGTTGTTATAGAAATTACCATTTTGGAACTTCAGTACAATAGCATAAACGTTCGTTATATAACATATATAATGTCGAGCATAAATGTCTTTTTAAATTTTAAAGAAAATTTATAAATAAATGGTAGGATGTTTCGACAATACGATTCTACCATAGATTTTTACAAATTGTATAAAACGAGCTTTCCTTGATCCCATGTAGTTGATTTTTTTACATTTTCTTCTTAAAGGTGAGAATTTTTATAAAATATTTGCTCATTTAACATATAATTCCTCTTGGGTTTGTCGGAATGTAGCGCCAAAAAGGGATAATATTGCAAAAGGAAACCACGCTAGAGGGTAGGATACTGAAGTATTTTTTTTTTTAAATAGTAAATTCCTTCTATGAAAAGGATTATTCTTCTGCATTTACGGTTTGAAACATTAAAATATTGCAGTGGGATGGATCTTTCATGATTTAAGATTTAAAAGTTGACTCTTAAAAATCCTACCTTATCAACATAGATTGCCGTCAATCAGATGAAAAATACTATTACCACCCCGAATTAAAGAGAAAATACAAGTTACAGTAGCTGTACTGTACCCATGTCTACGTTTCTGCCAAGAGCTTTTGCTTTCAAAAGAACGGATTAAAAAACAGTTACAATTGGCAAGAAACTACAAAAATTCAAATGAGAATAGTTGTTCGCAGCTAGGTTTTGCCGCCCATAGGAAATATGCCTGAAAATATTCCGAAAAAATCAATATAATGTTGATATTTTTTTTATTAGCATGAGTTTTATATCAATGACAATTATACTAATGCATATGTATGTATGGGGTCTCAACCGAGTTTGGCCAAAGCGGCTTCACGTACATCAGCTGTTTGTCACGTGACATGATTAAAATTAGAAAAAAAAATATGTAGGGATACTGTACAAAGATCGTAAAAGTTCAAGGATATACGGATAATTTTTTACTATGAAATTCATTACGTTTTCTTTAAGACAAATTTCTTAACCCTAAAAGTGCTGGGAGCAACTTCTACATGCCCAGGAATTATATAAAATTTAGTCGACTTTTAATAAACTATGTGCATTTACACTATATCCATTGAAGAAATGTAAAATTATGGAAAAAATCAACAGCGCACAACTTGCTCCCAGCAAATAATAGGGACAATAGCTACATGTGTATAAAATTTCATAATTTATAATCAAGCAGATATCGTTGAATTTTTGAGATTTATGAGGGTAGTACCTGTGATTGTAGTACGTTTCTGTATAAAAGTGCATGACTGTGGCTTTATACGAGACCTAATAGTTATCAATTAAATAAGACTGAACTATTGATTAATGCATTCAAAAATATAAATCAATTTTAATCAGATCACGCTTATTTAGTTTTAATTTTCCTATTTTCAGTTCCACTAAATAACTTTATCTGCGTCTCAAGCACAGAGAAACTGCGTGTCAAACTAGCCTATGATGTCATATCTGTTAGTACAGCGAGATCAAGTTGGCTTTGATTTTACATTCAAATAGTGTTATAATGACTAGATAAGTTACACATTGATTTATATTTACAATAATTATGAATAATCAAAGTATGTAAGAAAAAGGAAATTATTATTTATTCGCCGAGATTCATTTGTACAATTTCACTGTGACGTCATAATCAAATTCCTGAGGCTCTGCATACACTGAACTACATTTGGGTAGCCATTAACCTAGTTGCGTTATTTTTCAGCCATGAATATATCAAAGTTCTACCAATTTATTTGTGTGAATAATGTTTCAGTAAATGCAATTAAACTTAAATTATGTAAACAAATACTTTTAAAATGTATTTTGTTGTCTCGATACACAATATTATATCACAACAATGTGACCTAAATTTGTGCGAAAACCCATGTGAGCTTAAAAACTTTGTTGAGCTGCACAATACCTTAAGGCATAAATAATATTATGTAAGAAAGCATTTTTGATTGATTGATTGATTATATACTGTTTAACGTCCCTCTCCAGAATATTTCACTGATATGGAGACGTCACCATTGCCGGTGAAGGGCTGCAAATTTGGGCCTATGCTCGGCACTCAGGGCCTTTGAGCAGGGAGGGATCTTTATCGTGCCACACCTGCTGTGACAAGTGTATACGGTCTCATCCGAAGGACCGCCCCATTTAGTCACCTTTTACGACAAGCAAGGGGTACTGAGGACCTATTCTATTCCGGATCCCCACGGGACAGAAAGCATTTTTGAAAGTGCAAAATTGAATTTTGCACAAACACACTTAACTGCCAGGTCCTACATTTCTCTAAAAAATAATCGGCAGGGGACCGGGGTTAAACATCCGTCTAAACAGTTACCGATATTTTGTTAAAACTTGACACTTTTTTAAGTATAAAAGTATTTTTCTTGCTTTTAACAAAATGCTTGATCATTATCATTATTATTTAAAGTTTTGATAAAGAACTACGAACTCTAACTCTTGATTCCTGCCCATATTTTGCACCTATTAAATTCTATATCAATGGCAATTTGGCCATTAAATCTTTGTTTAATACAAAGAACAGTTCTATGGTATTTTTTAATTATTTTAATTCAAGCACCAGAAAGTAAATTATCCTTAATTTCAGCTCTTGAAAAAAAGGGGGGTGGAGGATATTTTCAAGTGAAATAGAAATTTCAAGAATTACCAGTCTTAAATATGATAAAATGTATCTTATCTCTTTCTTATGTTTTACGCAAATATATAAAACAAAACAAATTTTGTTCCTTCCGTCTGAAAATTTTATTTTCAGCTAAATACTTATGAACGACTTCCTTTACTATATTTTCCCGACTGTTTACAGCATTTATTGGTCTTTGTTAGTGTTTTTCCGATGTCAACGCAGAATTTTATCACTGCTCCGCCTATTCCGAAAACGTCCCTTTTTCGAACAAAGCCGATCCTGTCTTAGTAGATTCTAACCTAGATTTCTCAGGCACTTCTGAACTCTGAACGTTCAATTTTTGCAGGTTTGTAGTTTAAACTTTTGTCAACCTCGTAATGTAAAAGCAATCCGAATTTCTGCAGCATTTTAAAAAATACAAATGAAATTTATAAAGTGATATGTACCTTTTTTTATTAAAATTTTGCGGTGGTCCGGGTCACCATCATAAGTCTAATAATGAAGCCATAATTATTATTACTTATTTGAAATTAAATATTATTTTACATTTTGTAATTGATATTTAGTAAAGGATTATAAATATGTTAATTATAAATATCAATGACACCATCTTTCTTTAAATTTTAGCTTGTCCACGAACTTTACGGACAACCCTCGTATGGATTCCCAAAACGAAATTTTATTACAGAAAATGAAAGCACCAAGTTTTTACTTTATTTTGATATAATGAATGGGAAAGATGGTGATATTTGATTAATTGATATAAGTACAGGGCCATTTTGTGCATAAGATGGCTCTTGCTCTTTCCAAATTGACAGTCCATATTACCTGTAAAAAGGATTTTTTGTCACACGGGGAGGGGGGGGGAGAAGATGTCTTAAAAATAATTTTCCGTTTTCCGTTGATTTCTATAGGGAAAAACACAAGTTTTACCAAAATTATAGAGTTATCTCTCTTTGGTTACCCAAATAAGTAACGTTTTATGAAAATTCATGTAAATATCTATAAAAATGTTGAAAATCATTCTAGTATCTTAACTTTGAGAATTGACTTAAAGGTAGGCGAGAGAACAAAACTATCGTTCGTAGTTCTTTGAATCTTGAAGCGACGCGGAGGGATCGTGTCAAAACCAGAAAGTACCTACCCAAGGATAAAACATACGTTTATATCACGAGTAGTTTCATGTACACGTATGAGACAAAACCGCACATTCTTGAAATTAAGAATCGAGAGAACAGCTTTTAATGTATGTGACGTTGTAGTCTTCTGAGTGATAAGACTTTTACATGAAAATACACTGTTTTCAAATTAACTTTTGTCCTGAAGATGTTAAAATTGAAAAAATTACCTTTTTTCTCACCACCTGGTACTGTCTCTTTCACACTTTTATCTGTTGGTGATTCTAAATAATAAGTAAAGGTAATATGTTATAGATTACGCTATGTACATGGTCAAAAATATTCCGCGGAAATTCTTCCAAGTATACTTAATAAATGAAAGGCATATAGTGACAATCTAGAAAATTGGCGTCATTTTCTACCCGCGGATTAAACAGAAATTGAGATTCCGCGGAATTATGACACCGTGAAAAAAATACGTCTCCACTATACATGATTATCATTTTAAAAAAATTGAAATAAATTACAATTTGTTTATACATGTACATGAAATGTAATTTATGTATAAAGATCATTTATATACATAGACTGTCTACAAGACCAAAGAGCTAGAGTGATCGAAATACATTTTTTGATGTAGAAGAGAATCACATGGTTATAAAGGGGTTTCTTTCACTAATCAAAAATACTCGTTTCAAACAAGAATATAGAATTAATACTAGATAGGCATATAAAAAATCGCCTGGTGATGGGCATCCAGTTCATGTTTTCATGAAAATTTACATATATTAAGAACTTTATCGACAGGCAACTTGGCATCTAAATTGTATGACAAACGAGATGACCAGCTTTTCCAACTTCTTATACTTATTTTATTTTATTGTCTGCTTATGGTGTTTGTCTTCCAATTCTTTGAAATTATTCGTAATTCAAAAGCTTGCTTTGAGTGTGATCAACTTTTAAATGTAAATCGAGGCACACTACCCTCTGATAACTTGATGTAACAGAAATTTTACCAAACGCTTTTAAAGTCGGCATTTCGTAAATTTTATGGTCATTATAATACCATTGTTAGGAAATATAACTAATCATTAAGTTGTATTTTGGCTTGTTTTATACCAGTTGTTAGCCCTTTGTTTTGATACTGAATTGTCAAAAAAATCCATCAACCTGATAAGTAAATATGATGTGATCGATTAACAAGGGACACTTAATCCTCCAAGGCACCTGATGCGACCTTTGAAAATTCCAAGGGATCTAGGTTTCCTTTTTATATATTTGTACTGGTTAGAGATTTGATAAATTCATTCACTGTTCATTATTTCTATCTTTTACATTATTGCATCCGCAATTTTCTTTAAAGTCTTTGGGTTTCTACCGCCTTTTCTCAAGCCTTAATGATTCATAATGTATTCTATTTTTTATAACTGTTGACGATGATTATATACGAGTACATGTATGTATCCTAAAGAATATAATTATACTGCTTTGCTAAACATTAATCTTACATACCTTGCTTCTTTTCTTCGGATTGTTCATTTTTAGCCTGTTTTGCATGTGATACTATAAATAGAAAAAATTAAAGCATTGTTCACAACAACAGACAGTCAGTTTGCTTAGCTTTATAGATATGTCATCTATAAAAATGTGAAGGTGTACTGTCTGACACATCTCTTAGAATTTTTTTAGCATTCTTGAAGTGAATCCGTTTTCCTTTAAGGGGACGAAGGATGTATGGTCATGTGACTCAGTTGAATTACGTCATAATCTCTGTGAAAATATGTACAAAACGAGACTGAAACCACAGTACTTGTATAATTTTTTGACTGTTTGTTTGCGTTCACCATTTAGAGTAAAAATATCTGACAAAAATTAAAATTTCTTGCAAATATCAAATTACGGAATAGATTAATCCACTTTTTCGTTTCCCTACACTGCGCGTCCAGCGCGTCGTTGACGTCATAGTGGATCTCTCCGTTCAGTAAGATCATTCATGGTTTAGAGAGGTAGTATAAAATCATAAAAATAGGCCATGATCTTTACATGGTGGGGTATGTTGTGAATTTTAGAACGCAATAAACATTTTTACATGGTTGTTAACGGTAATGTTCTGTGGGTATGTATTATTTAGCTTATTTCAGAAATGTGTGACGTAATAGTTGGGTTTTCCCGTAAGTACTCGAGAAATGTAAACATGACACGTTTTTCTCATGATCATGTCTCGTTTAACTTTGCCCCGTGCAATATTGAGCTCAGCTTCACCAATCGATATTTTTACAGTTAATCAATACAATGACGAACTTCAACTTCGCCATAAATTTTCAAATATTGAATGATAGGATTTTTTGCAAATTATTTTTTTATTGCTTAAGTTGTCTTAAAAGGTTCGTAAATTTCCGTCTCCAGATGTGGTGTTACAAAATAATCTTGCTTTTTTGGAATGTTTAACCCTATTCATACTCTAAAATATTTTAAAAGATACATTTCCGCTGGCATGTTTTTTATCTATGCTGAAAAAATTCAATTATCAACCGAGTAATGGACCCAGAAACACGGAGCGTTAAATCAAAACTCCACTCAGACACTGTGGGGTGTGGTATTTGTCACTCAATATCTCAGGAAATAAGTCTACACACCTATTGATATGTCTGCTTTATAGTATGTGGGACATACTAAATACGATATATACAAAATATAAAAAAAATTAAATGACAGGTATTTTTTCAGCTAAATGTCCTTCATCCCCTTAAGATTTTTCTCTTTTTTACGATCACTTTGATTTGGATAGTTTTTATTGAAACTTGAGTACGCGGCACAGTTAAGATTACAAAAAAGGAACGGAGCCTAGTTTGTACGGGTAACTATGACATCATATAAAACAATTCTTGCAAATACCTCAAAATGACATATTAGCTTTATATTGGAAATACTCAACTGTTTTTTTTTCCGCATTATTACTACTAATTCTCACAATATTGGTTTTATATTTAATCATTTTAATCACTTGTAAAATAAAAGAATTACCAAACAAAGAGCTAAATCCAAATTCCCTCATCCCAAACAATATTTAATTAATCTTCATTTTTACCTTGTTTGCTTTCTGGCCCCTCCGACAGAAGTTCTGGAAATGAATTTTTAAACAATTAATCTACGTAAGCATTCTATCCTTTGAAGATACAACTAAAAATATTTTCATATGTACAAAACAATAACAAAAATGTAAAAAAAAATTATATCCAAAGTGCAGATATAATCGTTTATAATAAATAAATAGCTTAAATAGGCTTGTTTACTTGCATATTTCAAAAGGTGCAATGTTTATCTCGAACCAAATTTGCATATCTAGTTTCTTGCAATCTTTAAAAATTATTTAATTATTTTTATGCTTTGTTTTTTGACCTCATATGTACCGTTAATTAACGTGTCTGGATCTAATGTCAAGTCTCTTATTCCCTCTTGATTTATCTCTGAAATAAAATAAAACTGAGTGACATATGATAAGCATAAGTTGACATTTCTTTGAAACGCTAATTTGCAGAAAACGTACCAAGATTTCCAGCGTTTACGATGAAGCTATCCTTCCTGACATGGAATTCTACACCCCGAGTTGATGTTATATTTTCTATTTCTTCCTCCGTTCTTCCTTGTAGTCGATACAGTAAAGTCGTCTTCCCGACCCCATTTTCTCCGACTATAATAATTTGCGATATAGGACATACTTCCTCATATCCATCATTAATATGTCTCTGAAATCTTCTTTGAAACTCGTCTTCCTTAACTGAATATGCGAATCAATTTAAAAGTAATATGAAGTGATATAGCAAATACAATTCTTCAAAAGTTTTTAATATTTTATTTTTGCGAATTCAAAACATACAACTGCTTTGGATGGTTTTGGTATGCTTTTATTATCAAAGACAACAAATGCAGTATTTTGGAACGAAAATAATTTCAACTGTTTGTTTCTTTTTTTATAATCACTTGGTACATCTGATTATAAACACATTTTTTTAGAAAACAAACTACAAATAACGAGCACAACAATTAAATTTAATGCTTTTTGTTATATTATTAAAACTGACGGTGTCTAAATAAAGTGTTTAGGTTCCCTCGTATAATTTTCATGTTATGACAATTTGAATGAAAATGATTCATTCAATATTCGTATTAAAATATATAGATAACAAAGTCCTCATACAACGTAGCATTCTTTAAAATAAACTTCCAAACAATATTCAAACGTTTACCTTTTCATTAAGACATAATTTTTATAAAAACACGAACATATCTTCTAGAAAGTTAGTTTATTTCTGTATTAAATAGTTTTCCCTGTACACAATTGTCAAACGTGTAGTGTGTGTAGTAAGCGTCTGGCTTCAACTTCATCAAGCAATGTATGTGGGATCCAGCTTCCGAAGCAAGTCTATCAGCGTACATCCTTAAATGTATTATGCATGCACTTTTGGTCATAAAGTTTCTCATAGTTACATAGAAATGAGAACTGCATCAAAATTATTAACGAGTTTACTCATCTGGGAAATGAAGGACACATCCAACATCCGAAGCAAGCTTACGTCTGGTAGTGTGCATCCTTAGATGCATAATTCATGCAAGTTTGGTCATTAAATGGTTCATAGTTACTTGGAAATGAGAACTGAACAAACAGTTATTAGTTACCCGGAAAATATAGGTCATATCCAGCATCGAAGCTAGTCTAGTAGTATGCTTCCTTAGATGTATCATCCTACAAGTTTGGTCATCATAGAACTCATAAAAAATGAGAATTGCACCAAAAACATTTATCTGTTCACTCGTCCTGAAAATATTAGTCTGATCCAGCATCCGAAGCAAGACTGGTTGTATGCATCCTAAAATGTATCGTCCATACAATTTTGGTCATCATAAGGATTAAAGTTACTTCAGTTGGAAATAAGACCTACACCAAAAACCGTCTCCCTCTATTTTTTATTTAATAAAAATAAAGAAAAAATTCCGTTAAAAAAATGTTTTCAACTGTTTTTCTTTTTCTTATGCTTAGTTGCCATAGATTTAATACAATTAAATAAAAAATATCAGATATGAAGATGTTGAATAATCGGTATATATATGGGTATATTTAGACATAGTTCCCATTAATTACTATTAAAATGTAATAGTGGGGTGTGTCCTTATTTTTGACCTTGAATTTTTTCATCAAAAATACATTTAAAAGAAATATCTGTAAAAAAACATTTTCAATTGTTATTTTATTTATAATGTTTCGATGTGTCTTTCAGCCACATTATTTATATTCATATTACTTGAGTTATTTATTAGCAAAAAACGACTTTCCTCATAAACGTCAATGAAATCATTGTTAATTAACTACTACTTAGTTATTGAACTTTTTAAAACTTTCTCGCAAAAAAAAAAATTTGTAAAAAACATTTGAACAACCATTTTCATTTTATGAATAAAGGAAGAAAAACAAGTTATTATTAAGAGAAACCTTTTCTATTTTACCCCCCCCCCCCCCCCAAAAAAAATATATATATATATATATATATATATATATATATATATATATATATATAGATTACCTGTAGTCTCTCTAAACATTGTAATATACGTGTTTTTGTCTTCGTTTAAAATAAATCAAATTTTAATTAGTCATCAAGATTACCTTTAACATCAATTGAAATTAAATTCCATGAAAACACTTTCATTTGTACATAATTCAATCGTATATATAGAGTACGAGAAAAGTGACATAAATAATGACATTACGATCGATTGAATACCAAAGACAGCATGAATTCATTTACTAGAACTTTACGAAGGTAATTTTAGAGTTATCAAAATTCCACGTTTGTTCATTGCTGCTGATCAGCTGTGTTTCTTCCTCTATTTAAAAAAAAAATCATCAGTGAAAATTAAAAGAAGTGGTTTATATATTTTAACATTTAGAAAACTACACAAAGAGTCCGGTTCACTTCATTCATAAAATGGTTCTGTAGATAGGATGATTTAACCCTATCTTTGGACTTTCAGTAGGGCGTGACTTTTTCGGCGCTACGTAATGGAGAATACTAGAAGATTCTCATTGGTTACGAAATTAATAACATAGGAACTTAAAATGTTGTTGATAACGATCAGACAACTTATGCCCCACCTCTGTGCCGTGAGAGAACTTTTAATTGGCAATTCACTACACCAGTTGACATTCGGCCGCATTTCTATCATATGTATATTTCATCAGTGAAGGGAACCTTTGTAAATTTCAGAAGCTAATTAGGCAATGTCGAGAATGCCACGCCTTACTGAAAGTCTAAACTAAGCGGGTAATTCTTCTATACCAATTCAGTGTTTAATATTTCATGTTCCACTTGAAACATAAAAATAACAGAGACTTACTGGTTTCATTTCCTTTTAAAATATTTCTTCTAAAAGTCCAAGTCTTGGAAAACAGGCTTTATGATATTGCAATGTTCTTGAATCTTAGGATCAACAGTATATTTGAGTATTTTCAGTGAGGAAAATTAATATGAGCGCACTCTCTGATCCAAAAAATCTAAACATGTACTTTTATCCCCCCAAAAAGTTCTGTCATTTATTAGTTGCATATTTTAGATCAGAATATTATGAAAGTGAAGCATTTTGTGACGTTATAATGCATTAACCAGCCAAAAAATTACGTCTTTTTTGATTGATACGCAATCACCAAAGACCTCAGTGATTTTCAATGAATTGTTATCTAAACCTAAGCAGTTCCAGTTTTTCAGAAATCCACAGGGCCAAAAAAGACAAAAGGGAAACTTATTCTTTAAAAAGTTGGAAATAACTATTAAGAAATAAACTTTTCCTTGGATGTCGATATAAATTTACAGGGTTTTCTTTTATCAGAAAATACTTCAGCAGTGTATAATGTTTTTCCTGCCTCAAAATTTTACATTTAATCGTTAAAAATATGAGTCAAAGCTCGGTTGTTCGAAGATACTCTGTTTAACATCGG